TCTCTCTCTCTCTCTCTCTCTCTCTCTCTCTCTCTCTCTCTCTCTCTCTCTCACACACACACACACACACACACACAGAGCACGTCCCCCAAACCTCTCTCTCTCTCACTCTCTCTCTCTCTCTCCCCCCCCCCGCGGTACGTGTGCGTTTAATCTCCGATATGGACACTCCTGTGACAGGTGTTGCGCATGCGTGTTCATATGCCAGGTGACGTGCGACCGGGCGACTGTGACAGAATGCTGATCAACAAAACTTTTCGCTACAACGGATTGCCAACGAACCTGCTATGTGATCGGTTGTTGGCTTTAGAGACTCTGTTTAGCTAGACGAAGATGTCAGCAAAGAAGCAGAACACAGAGTCATGGACATCGATAGACCGAAAGATTTCATATCGCGTTACATCGGCCAGTACATGGCGTCCATTACATCTCATCAACAGACGCGGCCCTCCATCTCGCGTTCGGAAGCACATGCACATTTCCCCGATTAGATTTTTCATTCTGAGACCACAATACGGGCTCCCTACAAACCAGCCACCCAGAAAACCCTCCCTTTCATTCCTCCCTGCCTGCCATCTTCCGTTACGGCCTCCCCACACCACAAAGGTTTCAAGAGGCCGACTGGGTGTACCTCAGTTGGTAAGTCGTTCAAGCGGCACTCAGGAGGTCGTGGGTTCAATTCCCATGGCCCGGGCGATAGTGCTTGTGGCATACTTGGAGACTTATGTACCTTCGAGACGGCTAGTTCGTAAACACAAGTATATGGTCGCTTGGTGGGCCAAGCTCCGGTGTTGCAACGGGGAGGTTGCGGGTTCGACGTTGTCAGCCCGCAATATCCCCCGAGCACAATTGGTTGGTGTAGATTGCACCCCACGTACTTGTCTCGAGCTTGGCATAGCACCTTTACAGAAATGATGACCTTAACCCACCAATACTTGGCCCAGCTATCCGTCGCGGAAAAAAATAGAGTAGAAACATTTTCAGTTGCATGAATTTGGGCGCTCCTGTAGTGGCCCGTACATTTTCTAAATCGCGTAGCTTTAACGGGCACGGCTTTAGGAAGTACTGGTGGTTTACTAGCTCAGTGGGTAGAACTCTGATATTGTAAGTTGGAGGTCCCTTACAAGGGTATTTGGCTATGTTTTTACGATTGACAGAGTGATGGCACCAACCACCATGACAGAGTCAGTCCAAAGATTCAAAGCACATACGTTTTCTCGCTACACTTTGAAACGATTTCCTCAACCATTGAGGCCGAGACAAATCGGTGAAAAATAAAAATAAAAATTAGTCCGCGCGCGCGTTACGATGACGCGCACTATGATGATTAGGATTGGTAATAATATTCTTCGACTGACGAGACCAAGGGATCAGTTTAGTATAATAGAGCCTACACACCGACCGCGGTGGTTGAAAAACCACTTGAACCAACCATGCACAAGGTGCGCGCCTTGGCACGACGCTCGTTGAAAATAAGGAGCGTAAAAATAATAAAACCCCTCGATGACGGAGGTCGAGGGGTCGATTGGGGTAATGTTGTGTCGAGCACACCTATGGCACGCGTGAAAACTTGAGGTCAATTGGTGTAATGTTGTGTCGAGCACACCTATGGCACGCGTGAAAACTTGAGTGTTGACACGTTTTTTTTTGTCGGACTGAATTAATATAGGCCCCGGTCATAAGGCCATTGCAACTATAAAGGCCTCAGAAGCCTACGGCAACCGAACAACGACATTCAACGGAAGCTTGATCCCTCGTAGAAACAAGGAACAAACTCGGACCACTAGTCGGAGTAAACCCAATATTGAACTTATACCTGACTTGCTCGTCTTCAAATTGAGGTAAGGGCTATCTCAGTGGGTTTCGATGCGGATTGATAATTAGGTGACTCGGGGATCGAATCCATCCGACCCCGAGCTAACTCCTTTTGATCAGGAGCTCACACTGGCTTTGTGGTACCCCGCCTTCAAAAACACGAGGTTTGTAACTGTGACCTCGAAATCGGGGTTTGCTACAGTTAGAACCGTCAAGACAAGTGACATAACGAGGTTATTAGCACTTATATTTTTTTTTTTACTTTTAATTTTTTTAGCAGTTTGATTCTTTTCTTTCGTTATTTTTATTTTTTATTATTGGATCCATGTTATTTTTATACTTTAGTGAATCTATCGTGGAATCCATAACATATTCATTGACAGGGAAATAAACTTACCAACCATTACGGTCGAGGTCCTGGCCACCCGTGACTCGCACGGAGTCCGACTTTAAAGTCGTGACAATCCTTCGATGAGATCGAGATCGACCATCTCGTGAAGATTGTCGCAAGGCAGGATGACAAAGGGGAAAGTCAAAGCGCAGGGAGCAGAGGGGAAGGCGGCGCAAAAGAAGGCGATGGCAGCAACGGTTGTCGAGGGGTTTCCAACGTCGGGGTGTTGGCTTGCGGATCGTTGCGTTCACCCTTGCTCGTCCTCTTGCGACGACTGATGTTTGATCGTCAACAGTCGTTATTGGCGGCCATGTTCAGGTAGTGGAGGTGGAGGAGTCTGTCACGGCTCTGAGCGTCAGCACCCTCATCCCCTAGTTTCAGGGAGAGCGATCGTGTGTTTGTTGCGGTACTGTCTTCGTGTCCGCACACACAACGTTGCAGTTTTGTTGCTCGAGGCATCACGACTTGGAAAGGAGGCGTGTGAGGAGGAGAAAGAAGAAGAGGAAGAAAAAAAAGAAGAAAGAAGAAGAGGGAGAAGAAAAAGAATATGGAAAAGAGAGAAACGGGAGAGGGCGACTTACCTGTCATCCGCCCAACGTGTTGAATGCGCGCTGTGTCAATCGTATCCCCTTCCACGGGTTGTGGTCTCGATATGCTGTACGTTGTGACAGATCGATGTTGCGAAGCAGAGGGTGACGAGCACTGACGACAGGCGACGACGACAACGTGAGAGAGAGGGAACAAGTCTCCTATCGCAGCTTTTGACACACGATACTTTCATCAACAGAATAGGCAAAATGAATGAATCTACCGCTATAACATTAGAATATACGTTGTCGCACTTGTTTGTTTGATTACACGTGTGTGTGTGTGTGTGTGTGTGTGTGTGTGTGTGT